ATCCCCATCACGATGAAATTTCAAAGATTACCCGAGCCTATCGGCCAAGGCTATAGACTCGTTGAATACATCAGTGTAGCGCGCGTGCGGCCCAGAACATCTAAGGGCATCACAGACCTGTTATTGCCTCAAACTTCCTTGGCACTGGAAGGCCATAGTCCCTCTAAGAAGCTGGCCGCGGAGGGTCACCTCCGCATAGCTAGTTAGCAGGCTGAGGTCTCGTTCGTTAACGGAATTAACCAGACAAATCGCTCCACCAACTAAGAACGGCCATGCACCACCACCCATAGAATCAAGAAAGAGCTCTCGGTCAAGGCACCCCAAGTGAGAGAAAGTAGAGAGAGATGCTCTCCTCCAATGGAGATCTTTTCTCAAGTTCCGGTCGACGTCACCTCTTAACCTCCTTCCCTTTGATTTTCTCGCCATTGTCCTAGCCTTCCCTCCCCCCACCGTATCTATTCATCTTCTTCTTCCCCCTGTTTCTCTTCTCGCCGACCTTCATTTTCTCTCTCCCCGCCTTTTGTCTCCTCGGCTTTTTTCCCCTCCGGCCATGGCCAAGAAGAAGAAGAAACGCCCTTCGAGCTAAAGACCACACCAAGCCAAGCGAGAACCGGTCCTCGCTCCGATTGCTCCAGCCACCAGCCTCCAAATTAGTCCCGTTTTCGGTCGGCCCTCCCCTAGTGGGTCCAAAGCAGCAGCCCTCTCGGACCCTCCGGTCGCCGCTGCTGTGGAAGAGGTTTTCAATGAAGAAGCTTTAAGCTCGATGAAGAAGGGCCGGATTCCGATGAGGTAGGTAGCTCTGCAAGTTCAGCTCGACAATTTGGTTCCCCCCCAAAATGTTGAGTGAAAATCTAGCTTCCCGCCAAAAACTTTCAGCTGCTGAAATTTCAAGTTTGGGTGGCAATTTGGTTTCCCGCAAAACGTTTCTAGCCTCCCAAGCTTTGGCCGGCTCCCACTCGCCCTCTCCTCTCCTCCCCAACATGGAGGGCTCCGTTTCCGGCTCCTGTTCCAGCAGAGGGCTTGAGGCGTCCGATCTCGCTCCATCGAACTCTACCGGACCTCGTGTTAGTGACAATCCCCACTCTCCTCCCGTAGCCGACCCAGGTAATTCTCAAGCTCCCTCTTCCAAATGGCGTGATTTGTTTGCTTCTAACCATAATACCGCCCTATGCCCGAAACTCACTCATTATAGTGCTATAACTCAAAGTAAAACTTACACTTTGCTTGCCGATAATTCAAAATGTGAAATTTGGAAGTCTTGTCCGATTGGTTATGTTGTCGGAAAGTCTTCGGGCTATAGGGCTCTTTTCGGAATTATCGAGAACACATGGCAATGTCAAGCTTCGTTATCGATTCATGACTCCGGTTGGCTTGTGTATAAGTTTGCCTCCGAAGAGGCTAAGTTATCAATTCTGAATGGGGGCCCTTATCCGATTTTTAGCCAACCCTTATTGCTACGACTTATGCCCAAATTCTTTGATTTTTCCCTTATCGAAATGGCTCAAGTGTCGGTTTAGGTGAAGCTTTCGAATCCGCCTCTTAACTGCTGGTCCCCTTTATGTCTCTTGAAAGTGGCTAGCTTGTTGGGCAAGCCTATCCGAGTGTGATCGGCTTACTACCTCTATGGAACGTATCTCCTTTGCTAGGGTTTTGGTTGAAGTCAACATCATGGAGGAGCTTTCGAAATTCTTAAGCATTGGGTCGTCGAATGGCTCTTCCCTTCGCCAACAAGTGGTGTATGAAACGAGTCCCAATGCATTGCAAGCATTGCCAAATTTTGGGGCACTCTATGGCTTCTTGCAGGAAGGCTACTTTAGTGGCCAACCGGAGTCGGAGCGTAGGCCATGCGGAGAATCCGAGCCTAGCCGATACCCGGAGGCCTGATATCGGGGGGCTCGGCGGTGCCTACTAGCCTTGCCGACACTCCTTTGGAGGCCGCTCCTTTTGACCCTATGGTTTCGGAGGCCGAGGCTGCGGCAGGCGAGTGGATATTAGTTTCCGGTCGGGCCAAAGCCGGCACTCGCTCGAATCGGCAATGTCGATCTCGACGGGATTCGCCCTCTCGGTCGGGGCAGCAATCGGACGAACGAGTTCGGGAATCTCATCTAGCCCCTTCGATTCGGATAGATAAGGGTAAAGCGCCTATGGTAGACGCTTCACCGGTAGAGCTAGTGGATTCTTTGGTTGGCGCAGGCGTGCGGCCAGTAAATGCTAGGGTATAGGACGGGCACGGCGCTAGGGGGCCGGCCTCCAGCGCGGGCATGGTTTCGGTGACTCGGACCCGTCGGTAGTGGCTCTAGGTGCAAAGGATGGACCTCCGTTGGCCGGCGCTAGCGCGTAGCCTCGCTCTCGCTAGGGCTCAAGCTAGGCGCGGCGCGCGAGGGGACAGCCTCTAGCGAATGACCGGTTTATGCGGCTCCGAATAGGCGAAGCGAAGATAGGCGCAACCGATGGGGCTTTGTTGGATATGGTTAGTGCCGGCTTGCTAGACCTCTTGTAGGTTGAAGGGCCTCAAGCGCAAGCCCCGGCGCTAACTAAGCGCCGCAAGACAAAGAAGACGAAACGGAGTGCTAAGGGGGCCTCGCCCTCTGCAGTGACTTTATGATTATCCTCTATTGCAATGTTAGGGGCCTTAATTGTCCCCTAAAACAACATGAGGTTGCTGGCCTCATGCGATTGAAAAAGTTAGATGTTTGCGCTTTAGTCGAGAAACCAAGGTCGACCGACTAAGCTAGCTCATTTTCATCGGTTTCGACTTAAGTGGTGGAAACTTTCCTCTAATGCCTCCGAGTCCTCTAAAGCTCGCATTGCCCTCTTTTGGAATCCGGATACGGTCTCGATTGATCTCTTGGATCTTTCTCCTCAAGGGTCGCATGTTCATATTCGTAGCCTTGTTCATCGATCATAGTTTCATGCCACCTTTGTCTACGGTTTTCATACGATCTCTAGTCGTCGTGAGCTCTAGGTGGATCTTCGGTCATGGAATCCTTCTAGTCGGTGGCTCGTTCTTAGCAACTTCAATTCTATCCTTTCTTCGAAAGATAAGCATAACGGTGCGGCGGGGTCTAACTATGAGACTTTGGATTTTCGCTCTTGTTGTTTGGATCTTGGTCTACGAGACCTAATGTATACGGGCAGCCGATTCACTTGGAATAGCGACGGTGTTTGGACCAAGATTGACGAGTTCTCGCCAACCCCCTCCGGCCCGTTTCCTCTTTGCCTACTTCAGTCCATTTTAGTCCGCTTGGGGGTTTCTCCGACCATGCTCAAGCTTGGGTTCGGATTGATAGTCGGCCTCCCTCGGCTAAAAGCCATTTAAATTTTTCAACATGTGGGCTCACCATGACAACTTCCTCCGGCTTGTTGATCGGCACTCGGGCTCGTGGTATACAAGGTGCCCCGATGTTCATTCTCTCGCCACAAGCTTAAGAATCCGAAGAGGCCTTTGCGTGAACCAAATAAGCTTCACTTTAGCCATATTTCGAGCGTATGGCCCAAACGCAAGCCGATCTTGAGCTTATTCGAGTAGGCCTTACAATCCGACGGAGATAACGACGACCTTCTTGAACGGGACAAGCAAGCACAGTGCGGCCTTGGTCAATCTCAAGGCCGTGGAGAAAATGTTTTACGGTCGAAGCTCAAATGCAAGTTCCTCAAAGATAGTGATAGGGGCAATCGATTCTTCCACTCCCTCATGAACCATAATCACAAGAAGAATTTTATTACGGCTATCGAAGATAATGAGGGTCGACTTACGACTTTGCTTTTTGCGGTAGGTGATATTTTCGTTGGGTATTTTTAGAGGCTTCTTGGTACTGCTCGGCCTATCACTCCCTTTGATGCTAGGGTTGTTTCTCGTAGCCTTGCCTTGATTCGGATTCTCATGCGCTTCTCCTTATCCCGGTTTCGATGACTTAATCCATGAGACTTTATTCGAGATCGGCAACGATAAAGCCTCGAGCCCGGATGGCTACTCCTCGCTATTTTTCAAGAAGGATTGGGACATTATGGGGGCTGATTTTTGTTCGCTTGTTAAAGACTTCTTCTCGTTCGGACAGCTGCTTAAACAGAGTTAACCACTCGGTTATTGCCCTTATTCCAAAATCGACAAATGCATCATCTCCTTTGGACTTTCGACCAATTTCTTGCTCGTAATGTGGTCTACAAGGTCATCTAAAAAATTCTCTCTTCCGGGTTAGCCGGAGCTTTGATGGATATTATCGGTCTCATGCGAACGCTTTCTTGGGTGGAAGGAAAATGTCGGATAATATCCACCTTCTCCAAGAATTGCTCGGCAGTATGGCCGTAGGCGTGCCTCTCCTCGTTGCCTTTTGAAGGTGGACTTCAAGAGGGCTTTTGATTCTATGCAATGGCCTTTTCTCCAAAATCTTCTCATGTTGTTTGGCTTCCCGAGTACTTTTGTCCACTTAATCATGGTTTGTGTTGAATCACCATCCTACTCGGTTTCGATGAATGGCGACTGTTTGGCTTCTTCCAAGGCAAGGGTTGGATTCATCAAGGAGACCCCCTCTCCCCTATCTCTTCATTGTGTGCATGGAATATTTCTCTCGCATGCTTTTGATTGCCTCGGATAGATCCGGCTTTCGTTTTCACCCGCAATGTGAATTCCACTATATCGGTCACATTGCATTTGCGGATGACATTATGCTTCTTTATCGAGCCGACGGGGCTTCAATTCGAGTGCTTAGCGCAAGCAACTATAACTCGTTTGGTAACACCTTAGGTCCGACCATCAACTCGGCCAAGTCCTCAATCTACTTTGGTGGCATAGGAAATTCCCCGAAGTAGGTTATTCTCCGAGATACGAGGTTTTCAAAAGGCTCCTTCCCCTTTCGTTACCTCGGTGTCCCTCTTAGTCCTCACGGTCTCTTAGCCGCCAGTTCTCGCCTCTTTTGTAGAGCCTAGAGTCGACGGTCCAATCTTGGATGGGGAAACACTTGTCTTACGCCGGCCGTCTTGAGCCGTTGCGCTCGGTGTTAGCAGGGATTACTCACTTCGGTTAGCGATCTTTCCTCTTCCAGCAGGTGGTCCTCTCCCGCATTACTAGCATTTGCCGTAACTTCCCGTGGACCGGGGACTATAATAGGGGTCACTCGGCCTTGGTTGCCTAGTCTCGGATTTGTCGGTCGAAAGAGGAAGGATGCCCGGCGCTATGGCATCCGCCTACCCTCAACCGAGTGTTACCTTACACGCCGGTTGTGAGACATCCATCGCAAGACGGACTCAATTTGGATCCGGTGGGTCCATCATTACTATCTAAGGGACCATTCGGTGTGGCAATGCCAAGTTCATAAATCCGATTCTCCCACCCGGAAGGCGCCGCTCTCCACGCGTGACAAGCTTCTTGGTAAATTCGAGGCAAGCACTCTAGTTAAGGCGTGCCTACAAGCGTGGGGCCTCGCCAATTTCATCCGTAATGCCTACCACAACCTTCGCTCGGCAGGCAATCCGGTTACTTGGTACAAAGTTATCCGGGAGCAGTGGGCCTTACCAAGGCATGCCTTCGTTCTTTGGTTGGCGGTTCAAGGGAAGCTCAAAACTATTGATCGGCTTCGATTTATTCCGGAGGATGTTAGCCGTGTCTTATGTCGGTCCGCTCTAGAATCTCACTCACACCTGTTCTTTGAGTGCCCCCGGACCACTTGCCTCCGGGCGCTAGTCGAGTGCCGGCTACGAATTGGTCGATGTATGTCTACGCCGCTTAGCGCCATTTGGGGCCTCTCTCTCCGAAGGAATAACTTGGAAGCCCGAATGCGTTGGCTTTCTTTGGGGATCATTGTTTATCTTATTTGGGAAGAGAGGAACAAGAGATGTTTTGATGATGCTCACTCTCCGACCCTCGTTGATCGTTCTTTTCGAAGATTTCGGGTTCTTTTCTTTATGATTTTTCACTTTCATGAGCAAGACCACGAGTATTCTCAATGTTGGTTGATCGTCCCCACCTACCGCACTCGGCACGGATTGGCTTGTCTCTCGACCTGCTTGCTCGGTTCTGTTTTATGTTCATTCTCGTCGCCTTGTGCTTTGTACTCGCAGCTAGCATACTTAGCACCGCTTCTTCGTTCACGTAGGCCCATTCTCATGGCCGTAGCGCCTTTTGGTTTTATTAGCGAAAGTTTTTGTAAGTCGTTGAGCCTTTGTAAATGGTTCCAGTTAGCTAGTGTATGATCTCTATCTAGTTGTTCCTGGAATCTCTAATGTTTGATTCCTCGATCAACCATCTAATTCTAGCTCTTTTGCTTTGTTTTTTCTTTGGGAGCTCGTTCCCACTTTTTGTACATCCCGTATATTCTTCTCTTGCTGGTTTTCCAACTCGTTTCACTTTGATTAATATAGTAACATTTTAATCAAAAAAAGAAAGAGCTCTCGGTCTATCAATCCTTACTATGTCCGGACCTAGTAAGTTTCCCCGTGTTGAGTCAAATTAAGCCACATGCTCCACTCCTTGGCAAATGCTTTCGCAATTGTTCATCTTTCATAAATCCAAGAATTTCACCTCCGACTATGAAATATGAATGCCCCCAACTCGTCCCCGTTAATCATTACTCCGATCCCGAAGGCTAACACAATAGGATCGAAATCCTATGATGTTATCCCATGCTAATGTATCCAGAGTGTAGGCTTGCTTTGAGCACTCTAATTTCTTCAAAGTAACAACACCGGAGGCACGACCCAACCAGTTAAGGCCAGGAGTGCATCACCGGTAGAAGGGACAAGGCGACCGGTCACACCCGAGGCGGACCGGCCGACCCAACCCAAATTCCAACTACAAGCTTTTTAACCGCAACAACTTAAATATACGCTATTGGAGTCGGAATTACCGTGGCTCGAAGAGCCCGTATTGTTATTTATTGTCACTACCTCCCCGTGTCGGGATTGCCTAATTTGCGCGCCTACTCGCCTTCCTTAGATGTGGTAGCCGTTTCTCAAGCTCCCTCTCCATAATCGAACCCTAATTCTCCATCACCCATCACCACCATGGTAGGCCTCTCTCCTACCATCGAAAGTTGATAGGGCAGAAATTTGAATGATGCATCGTCGACACGATGGCCGTGCGATCCGTCGAGTTCTCATGAATCATCGGAGTAACGAGCAGAGCCCACGTCGACCTTTTATCTAATAAATGCATCCCTTCCAGAAGTCGGGGTTTGTTGCACGTATTAGCTCTAGAATTACTACGGTTATCCGAGTAGCAAATACCATCAAACAAACTATAACCGATTTAATGAGCCATTCGCAGTTTCACAATCTGAATTAGTTCACACTTACACATGCATGGCTTAATCTTTGAGACAAGCATATGACTACCGGCAGGATCAACCAGGTAGCATTCCTTTGCGACACCGCAACCCGAACAATCCCCAACGTCAAAACGACGAGGGGATAAGTCAGGCGCAGAGGTCATTCTTATCGAGCAAAGATCACTCGAATGGGGTTATTGCAGGGCTGGAGAACCCTACACAGGCAACAAATTCCGCA